CACCATCACAACACCACCACCTCACGTCGCCACCACTACCTCACAAGTTGAAATAGAAACAAAAACAAAAACAACCCCAACATAACACAACCGCCAACACCACCACAACACCAAAATCGCCACCAGATTTCTCCCATCCAGCAGAGATGTCGCCTCTACACAGTGGCTCCGACTAAGCAGAACAAATCAGAATCACCCAAACTCCCTCCCCAAATTTTCTCTTTTGCTGGCGACAAAAATACCCAAACTCCTCCCCATATTTTTCTGCAACAATGGCGAGTGCACCGCCGGACAATGCTGCTGCGAGTTTGCAGCAGTCTCGCCATTGTTGTTTAAAGCCGCTGTGAACGACAGAGTTCACAGCATTGCTCAAGGAGTCATGCGCAGCGACCTACTAGAGTGATAGAGAGATCGTGCACGACTGTGGTGCAATCGAGGCCTAAAGACCTGAAGCATCACTATTCATAAGCTAATTCGCATTCTCACTTAATTGATCACAACGAGTCACAATTAACCAGTCACAAACGATTACAATCGGTCACAATTGGTCACAAACGGTCACAATCAGTCACAAAAAACTACCCGGTATCACAAATGATCACCACAAACCAGCACCACAATCCATCACCAATCATCACTACCGTCACCTCAAATAGTGGCCACACGCAGTAGCACCAATACAACCACCAACAAAAATGACCACCACCATTAGCAGTCAAATATGTAACCATCTCACCATCGCCTTCACCATCTCACCATCACAACACCACCACCTCACGTCGCCACCACTACCTCACAAGCTGAAATAGAAACAAAAACAAAACAAACCCAACACAACACAACCACCAACACCACCACAACCCCAAAATGGCCACCAGATTTCTCCCATCCAGCAGAGAAGACGCCTCAACACAGAGGCTCCGACTAAGCAGAACCAATCAGNNCACCACAACACCAAAATGGCCACCAGATTTCTCCCATCCAGCAGAGATGACGCCTCTACACAGTGGCTCCGACTAAGCAGAACAAATCAGAATCACCCAAACTCCCTCGCCAAATTTTCTCTTTTGCCGACGACAAAAATACCAAAACTCCTCCCCATATTTTTCTACAACAATGGCGAGTGCATCGTCTGACAATGCTGATGCGAGTTTGTAGCAGTCTCGCCACTGTCGTTTGAAGCCGCTGTGAACGACAGAGTTCACAACGTTGTGCAAGGAGTCATCACGCAGCTACCTACTAGAGTGATAGAGAGATCGCGCACGACTGTGGTGCAATCGAGGCCTTAAGACTTGAAGAATCACTATTCATAAGCTAATTCGCATTCTCACTTTTATTCCCAGATCTCAGAAATTGATTCCTTGTTCTATGAGCCCGTGGACAAGAGATCTATAAGTTTGGGAAGATGGTCGAAATTTTCGTCAGCCCTAATAGTGAAGCAAGCAGCGACGCTGCCGCAGCAGCGACAAATCCAAGTGCTGCTTCTTCGTTCATCAACGAAGCCAGGTTGCCGGTGGGTAGTGGAGCGCATCGACCACTGCATTGTCGTTGCTGCAGATCCACGGCTAGTAGAAATGGAGAGAGAGAGGCGTCAGGTTGGGTGGTTCTGGGGAGAGAGAGAGGCGTCAGGTTGGGTGGTTCTGGGGGGAGAGAGAGAGAGAAAGGTGAGTTGGGAGAAAATGAGAAATTATCTATTGTAATTAAATTTTTATTAATTATAATTATTAAAACTTAATTACCACCTGATTTGTGAAATAAAAATTAATCCACCTGATTTTTGAAAATGAAACTTTTAAAAACTAAAAAATGAAGTATATTGGGATATGTAAAAATATCATTCCCGAAATATAAGTGAAGAAAAAATACAATTATAATTAAGTTAAGTGAAAAAAAAGCATAATAAACTGACCATCCTTTTTCGAAAATTTTACACAATTTTTCTTCACAAAAATTACAGTGTACTTAATTATATTTTGATGAGATTTTTGAATAAAAAAGGATTGAGTATTCAAAGATTGGGATGAATTTGTTAGACTATGAAATACAGAAAGAGGACTGATTGCATAAATTTCTCAAAAGGAAAAAAAAAACAAAAAAACAAAGAAAAGGATATGAGGGGAAATTAGGATTTCAACCCATAATCTTCCATTATTCTAACATTTAAAACAGGTAGAAAAAATCAAGAATTTTTGGCCCCTTTTAGATTGGACCCGTGACAACAAATTAGAAAGGGGTACATACACAAATACCCTATATTTTGGGGTAATTTTGAAAAAAATATGATAAACTTTGATTAAATGGAAAATAGTTAAAATTGAACATATGTTTTGCGCTCAAACATAACGCACGACAGTTTGTCAAGAATCAGCCCTTCAATTTCGAAAAATCAATGGAAAATCTAAAGGAAAAGAAAAAATCTTCAACAAATCAAGTACAAACAAGATCAAGATTGCTTTAACTACCATTTTTCAAAGTTCTCTTTCCCTAATATAGAAATAGCCAAACAAAAATTTCAGGGTTTTTATGTTTTTGATTTTTCTTAAATTAGTTCCGCAATTCTATCATTTTAAGATTGTTTAATACTTTCTTTACATAGATTTTGAAAGCAACGACCTAGTAATTATCAATTTCGAGTTGAATAAGCTCCCACTGACAAATTCTAATCTTCTCATTGCATTGTCCATGTCACTTTCCTTAGAATTTCGTGATTGAGTTTAGCTTGAATAATAGAATGTATATAATTGACATTTGTGAAAGTTCTTTTTTTTTTTTCAATGGTTTTGCTATTGTAATTGGAAAAATAATTGGAAATAACATTTTTGATCTTGAGAGGGAATGAGTTGTGTTAAAACATATGAAAAATAAAACTTTGAATCAATAAATTGATGCATACAATGTGTTTGAGAAAAAGAGCGCGCGATCAATGTCACTTTTTCTGTAAAAAAAAAGGCCACAGTAGCTCATTAAAACAATTATCTAGATGCGATACGTGTTTATTTTTGAAAATTTAAATATACATATTCAAACATTATATATGTGAAAAATTAACTTTAAATAAGTTCAATATATGCATGAAAGGTGTTTGCGCAAAGGGGAATGTGAAAAAGTGAGATCTAAAAAAAAGTCATAACAATCTCTCTTGGAACAATTAATTAGATGCATATGTGTGCATTTTTGAAATTTTAAAACGAATTCAAACATTATTTTATGTTAATACATATGAAAAATTAAATTCGAATGAATTCAATAAATGCATTCAAAGTGGCCGTGAAAAAGAAAATGTAAAAAAATGACATTTTGTTACATTTCCATGAAAAAGTCACTTTCTTTCACTTCTCTCAAGGAAAAAAAAAAAACCACAACATCTCATTAGAGTAATTAATTAGATGCATATTTGTGCATTTTTGAAAATTTAATAAATGAATTCAAACCTTATTTTAAGCTAACACATTTGAAAATTAACTTTGAATCAATTTAATAGATGCGTGCAAGGTATTTGCGAAAAGAAAAATGTAAAAAAGTAAAATTGTGTCACTTTCTATGAAAAAATCGCAGTATCTCACTGAAACAATTAACTAAATGCATACATGTGTGTTTCTGGAATTTTAAATATAATAATTGAAATCTTATTTAAATTTTGCATTTAATTAATATTTATTTGAATCAATTCAATGGATGCATCTAAGATGTTGTGAAAATGAGAGTGAAAATGTGACATTCTGTCATTTTTTTTTATGGAAAAGTCATAGTATCTCATTGAAACAATTAACTAGACACGCACACGTGTGTTTTTGAAAATTAAAATATACCAATTCAAACATTGTTTTAATCTTGTATTTAATTCATATTTTTTTGAATCAATTCAATTAATGCATTCAAAGCATTTGCGAAAATGAAATTTTTTTTTTTTAAAAAGTGATATTCTCTGAAAAAGTCGTGGTATCTTAGTAGAGCAATTAACTAAATGTATACGTGTGTTTTTGAAAATTTAAATATACGAATTTAAACATTATTTTAATTTTGGATTCAATTCATGCTTGTTTGAACCAATTCAATTGATGGATCCAAAGTTTTTCGAAAATGAGAAAGTGAAAAAATGGCATAATTAGACTTTTTTCTTTTAATTTCTATTTTGGCGTTACTAACTTTGGCCTATTTACGGGCTAATTTATTCACTCGTTGAGTGAGATTTTTGTTATTGTTTAGAAGTATTAAAGAAATTTTTTGGAATAAATTTTTCGAATTTAAAAATCGATAAACGATGAGTTCATAATAATAAGTCAAAAATGTCACAATAAATGGAGTTAATAATTACGATTTATTTTGCGTTCAACCGTGCAAAATAATTTTTGACATCTAAACTTCGTCCGTAACATATTTATCATGGCCGCATTTCAAGCTTTCTGATATATTTTAAATCGCTCGAAATGGATAATCGTAACAGAAAATATCGTATCAAACGAAAGCTTTTTAATAATAAATAATTTTAAGTGAAAAATATCAGAGGAGTGCGGCCATTTGTCTTTGGAATGATTTTGGCTTCAAGTATTTTATATTTTTTGTGGACGTAATACGGTTATTAAAATTTTAATTTTATTTAATTGTATTTCATCAATTTCTTCCTCCTCAATTAGAAAACCACCCGGGTCATTGGCCCAGTAGTTCAATAACTTGAAAATTGGTTTGCTGTAGAATTGATACAAATAAGACACTATCATGTTTTGGAATTGTTTATGAAATCAATTAAATTATAAATGCATATAAATGAGTGATGGATAAATGAATTATATTGTAGTATTTGTGGATCTCATTGCACGTGTGAACAAAATGAAGTTTGATCCATTATAAATAGATTATGAACAGAAGACAAATAAGATTAATCTTCCGTGATACTTTCAGTTGTAGCACTTTTTTCACAGATCGGGACCATAGCAATTTTCAATGGCGACAACAAACTTGTATCTAGTCAGTAGTTCAACGATATCTAAGTTGTCACACGTGAACAATGTATGTGATAATAACTATCAATCTATACTGTAAAAGGTTTTCAACACCACATTTTGATTGCACAAAACACGCTCAATTGATTGTCCATTCCTTGTCAACATACGCTGCATGAAATGTATTTTGGTCAAATATCCAAATGAAACTAAAGAAGAAAAATGTTGTCGCACCCACGAGCTCCATCAACTTTCCACATTATGGACCTTCAAGAGTAGTGCATTTCCGAACGCTTTTTTAGCTGAATCACTAGGAGTATTGGAAGCTGTATCTCTTGGTAAACAGCTCGAACTGCAGTCGATCATGGTAGAGGGAGATGCGCTTAATGTTGTGAAGGGATTGAATGGAGACTTTGACTTGTGGAACTACCCAGGTATATTGATTCAGGACGCGAGGAGCATACTTGAATATTTTCATTCTTGGTCTGTTAGTCATGTACCTAGGAAAGTGAATGTGGTTGCTCATATTTTAGCAAAGGAAGCACTTAAACTCTCCGAGGAGAGAATTGTGCTGGAGGATACTCCT